TTTGCAGATAATTTTTGTCAGGAGCATTTGTTTTCTTCTTGGAAACTAAGTTTAAAATAATAGAGGAGTTTTTTTTTCTGTCATTCATTGATTATCATTTTGTTAAGAAATCATTGGTCTTCCCAAATATTTTCCCATTGGTGTCAATTTAAAATGCTTCAGTGTGGAAGCATTTTAAGATAGGTTGCTTTTGTACAACTGTATAAATTTGCTAAAAATCAAGGAACTATATACTGACAATGGGTGAGTTGTATGTTAATTATACCTCAAGAAAGCTGTTAAAAGTGAAAGAAAATGCTTCAGTGATTTGATTTCTTCTGTAAACTATCTATATTTGTGAGTGTGTGATGTTCAAAAGCTGATTCTTCTTTCTGACCTTGAAAAGTCCTTCCAAATTGTATCATAGGTTCTCTTCACTCATTTTCATCCTTACTCCCTACTCTGACTTCCACGCGCAAGGTTTCAGTCAGTTTTATGCAGATGTATTCAACATGTTTAGTCCTAAATTCCAGGTCTATATCCTCAGCCTCCTTTTGGGTAATTCTCTGTGTATCCTTTTGGCCCCTAAACTTCCTTCAACAAATCCCTAAGTGGAGTCATCCTGTCCTACTGCAAACCAGCTCTTCTTCCTCATTCATTCAACAAATAATTACTGGGCTCCAACTGTGCATCGGCCCCAACAGGGGCTCCAGCAGTGAACAAAGGAGGTGAATCCCTTGCCTGCATGGCACTTATGGCTAACTGGAGAGGACAGACAATGAAAAGGATATCGCAAGTTAAAGGAATTTTTTTTTAAATAAAGAAGAGAAAAAGAAGGAGCCATGAGAACAATAAACTATGTCCAACCTGCCATCTGCCTGGCCCTCACTCTTCCTGCTCCAGTACACTGCCCTCCACATGCCAAACCCTGCTTTCTAGCCCTGTGATGATGCTGTCTTCACAAACTTTCTCATATTTTCCTTACTCGTTCTTTTCCATTTCTGTCTGGACTATTTCAATGACATCCATATGTGCATCCCTGCAGTCATGCCAAACTGATACAAAGCATGGCCGGAATAATCTTCCAAGTTCATAGCTATGGTTATGTTGCTTTTCCAGGTTAAAAACCTACAATTGAAGTCAGACATGCTAGCAAAAGTTTGGGTTCAGACATGTCTAATTTTTCAGCTAAATTCCAACAAGGGATTGGGAGCAAGGAAGTGCAGGTCAGGAGAGTCTGTAGGTCATATAAAATAAAATAATATTATTGTCTAGGGAACTCATGGAAAATTAAACTGATAGCAATAGTACAAGTATACGTCTCTGGCATTTAATCCCATTTAATCCTTTTCTTTGTAGTATAGGGTTAAATAATAAAGTTATTTAATGAATATTAAATATATGCCTTTTTTTTCAGTTATCAAAAACCTTAAACACAATAAATGTATTACCTGTGTTTCTGGTCAAATATCTTGCGATTGCTAGGCTCTGGTGAAGGTTAAGTCCATCGACTTCCAAAATGGGAATTTTGCCAAATGGAAGAGCTTAAAATAAAGTGAGCAAAGAGTCAACTTCTAGAGCAAAATCAAGATAGAATATTTCCATTTTACTGATAATGGTGGAAACAAAGCATGATTTTAAGTTACAGAATTCTTGAATACTTGTTCTAAAAGGAACATGGGGCACCCTCTAGTGGAATCCTTAAGTTTTACAAGTAAAGTGAGTTGTTCGAAGATCTGTTACAGAATTAGTGACAGAACCAGATCTAGAAGCCAGGCTCATGGTGACGCTACACATCATACTATATATCATCTCATAAACTTACTAATTAACTTTTGAAAAGATTTTCTTTTAAAGCTTCATTAACTTTTCTGGCTTCTATCAGACTTTAAAAATACAGTCTGAGAAATATGGCAAGTTTGATTTACATATTGAGTTATGGTAAAGAATTTAGCCCAAATTATTATTTTGATGAGGGACTATTTGACATATATAGTAAGGTACTAGCGTATCAGGATAGATACAGGACAGACTCATAGCAAGTGTGTTATTATTTTATCTGTAAATCTTACTTTTTTTCTTATCTAAACCTATTACATTTTTGTCAGAAAGTAACTTATTATTCTTTAGTATAGAAAAATTATAAGATAAATAAAAATAATTCTACCACATTGCTGGAAAACAAGCCGCTGAAAAACAAGCAACTAGAAAACAAGCCACACCTAAATTTCCATGAGCTTAAAATATTATATTCACACTTACTTGCTTAAAATGCACATGCTTGCTTTGTTTTAATGGTTTACGCAGTAGATGACCTATAACATGTATTATGCTAAAGAAAACTTGTAAGGAGAAATCCTGAGATTGCCCATAAGGGCATGAAGGAGGGCAGATATTTCCTTAGGGTAAGGTCCTGGAAAGCCCGATCATCCATTAACAGAACTTTGTCCTGGCCTGAAAGCATGCTGTTTAACCCGAGGGAAGTATTTGCTATCTCAAGATGTCCCAGAGGTTATAACAGGATAGACTTAGAAAATTTGCATATCCCGAGGAGGGTGATTGTTCCTGGAAGTTTAGGCCTGAAATTAATCAGTTAACCAGCAAGCAGAATTTAGTGCTTATCGCGTGGAATATCTAAAGCCCCACCTCTTTGATCACATTTTTTTCTGAGTTGTATACTCCACCAGGCTTTCGCCCCGCTCTAGATCCACGAGATCTTGAGTCCCCTGGTCCCATCTTTGCTCTTTACTTTGTCTCTTTGTTTCTTAAGTCTTGCGTCACTTGTCCTCAGACACGGTCCCGAGCTGCGCTGGACACAGCACTACATAATTATAGCATTTCAATATTTTAATTATTTTTCCATATATGTATAAAAACAAAATCATAATGTATATAGTGTTTGTAAACCATTTTTCATATGATAATACCTTTCTAAAATTTCTCTAAATCAATGAAACACCATCTTTTTAATGATATATACTTTGCCATATGAATCATCACAATTTCCCTAACCAGTGGCTTAGCTTGGGACATACAATTATTTTGGAAAGACAGAAAAAAATAAAGTTCCACTTGAAATCCTATGACACTGACACAGCTATTAGAATCAACCTTCAAGTGTCTTTCATATGTACTGAGTAAGTTCAAGATGAACTAGAGTTCACACCAGGAATAAAAACTTCTTTGAGTACTTATCTAATAAGTGGGCCACATACTATTCTGAATGTCTGAGATACTGCAGTGCACAAAACAAAGTCCCAAATGAAGCTGACATGAATTGTGATCCCTTATTTGAAGCAAAGTATGTGATCAAGAGGGAATTAGCAGGGGGAGGTGGGTATTGCTCAGTGGTAGAGTGTGCTTAGCACTGTGGGTTCAATCCCCAGTATCCCCATTAAAAAAAAAGTGGGGGAGAATTAATACGTCTAACATTTGGGGGTGGTTCTTCATGGGCATCATACTAAATATTTAACATGCCCATTAGGTCTTCTGGTATTTACAACAACCTTGTGAAGTAGGAATTAATTACTATCTCATTTTATAGGTAAGGAAATGAGATGAAGAGAAGTTACATAAATAGTCCAGATCACACACCTGGTAAAGGTGAGATCCAAACTGAGGTCAGTTAGAACTTTTGCTCAGCTGTTTTCTAGTTCTAAGAGCCATGTTTTGAGAAAGACATTAAAAATCAGAGCAAGCCAAGAGGACTGTATCCAAATTAGAGAGGGGTCTGAAAACCATCTAATATGAGGATTGAATGAAAAATTTAACACTTTCCACTGAAGAAGACGGAACAAACTAAGTGAAACATAAAAGCTACCTCCAATATGGCATAGTTATCAAATGGAAGAAAAACTTTACTTATTCTGACTATCCGTAAAATGCAGGACTAGAACCAAGAAGTAATTTTTGAAAGGACTGATTTTAACTCAAAATTAAAAATAATGTTACCATTGGAACTGTTGACAATGGAATGTGTTTTCTTATGAGATGGTAAGCTTTCAGCTACTGGAAACGTTGAGCCAAGCTTGGGATAACTGCCAACAATTGGAATATTGGGCTGCATTTAGCAAGAAGAAATTTAAGAAGACAAATGCTAAGTCCTTTATTTGGTTCCAAAAAAAATAATTTCAGGGTGTTGGAATTGTAACTTAACAGGAACACCTGTCAAAAAGCTTTAAGAGATTTAGTGAAGCTGAATGTAAGGTGTCAGTGTGCTTTTGCTGCCAAAATAGCTACTGTGATCTTGGTAAAATGTCTCAAAATAATGTCAAGGCTTGTGCCAGAAGTGATGGTCCCACTCTGCTCTGTGCAGTTTTTATGCCGGGAACACTGTGTTCCTCTAGAGGCACCACACATAAAATGGCAGACACAGTCTAACAGGAGCTTGTTTTACTTGGATGGTGAGGAAACCCAAACCAGGGGAAATAAATGGAACACTCCAGCAAGAGAAGAGAGTCGCCCCTTGGACCAAAATGTAATTGCAGATCTCAGATAGTCCATGGGAAACAGAATTTCAATCAAGAAGGGGAATCAGGGGTAGGAAGGCTGAACTGAATTTCACAACAATGACCAGAGAAACAATCAAGGAAGTTCCAAAAGTTGGTATCTAAATAGAAATATACATAAGCACGAGTTAACTAGGGACTCAATTCTGAGTTCAGCCAAAGACCTTTATCCTCAATCAGAGCATTTTCATTGAACTGACTATATAGCAGTGGCTTTTTTTCTATGATGTCTTGAAGATACTAAATTTCTTCAGACAATTGGATGTGAGAGGAATATTAGTTTGTTATCCTTGAATTAACATTTTAAAGTCCAAGACCAATGTATGAAAGCTGTTTGGATAAGGAAGTTTCTTTTAAAAGATTTCCTCCCTTCTGCTTTCTATATACTCTCTTCCCAGAATTTCATGGAGATGTTGGACCTCCTAAACTGATTGATTCTCAATTTTCCTCATCTTTTTTCTCTTATTTTTTTGTTTTTCCCTATTGTACTTTTGGGGGGAGTTCCTTATTTTTCATTTTATTGATTTGTTTTTGTCAAATATTAATTTTCATGAACTTTTTAATCCCCTAATGTTCTTTTTCACAGCATCCTGTTCTTGTTAAGAAAGTATAGAATATCTTCTCTTTTCTCTCTGGGGATTTCATATTTTTGAAGTTTTTTTCTTGCTACATCACCTTGACACCCTCAGAGAGGTTTGCTTTTAGGTCTGTTTTATTAGAAACTTTCCACATTATGGACTAATTTTTCACTTGCCATTTCTGTTTCCAAGAACAAAGAAATAAAAGCTAACTGGAATCTCAGGATGGATGAGAAGGGCTTGCCAACAGATTGGGCTGGACCATTTCACTGAGATCTCCCCATCTGTTAGGCATTTTTCTTGGACTGGTCCTCCTATTTCCTGCCTGAGGGATATCAGCCTGGTTTCAGTTGATTGTAGAGCAGGGGAAACAGCTTCCCCTTCAGGACTTCCACTGAATGCCACTTTCCCTATAGCACTGTGTCCTCAGACATGCCTGGTGTCCTAGAATCCTCTGGTCCATCCTCTCTTGAAAGTGATCTCCATACTTCTGCCAGGGAGACAGGAGGATCTTGTTGTCACACTGCTTCCTCACATTCTTCTAGGCAGTCCTCCATTAGCTCAGCTCTTAGAGTTATCTGTTGCAACCAATTCCTGATCCTTTAGGGGCATCTCTGGAGTCACTCAGCTTTCCTTCTCCCCTTCCAGGCTTATATTTGAGCATCACTAGCCTACTAAGTCACCTTACCATTCCTTGACCTGCTTTCCAGCTTCCAGAATTTTGCTCTCATATTTAAGGTTGATTTCTTTATCTCTGGGTGGGGGAGGGGTGCCTTTTTCTCAAAAAGTACTTTAATATTATTAAAGGAGAGAGAAAATATAAAACCTGTGCACAACCTATTAGGTTTGACCAGGAAGAATTTTTTAATAGAAATATCCAATGATATTCTAGATTATAGTAGGAGGGATGTCATAGAGAGTTTCAAACACCAGAGAGCATTCCTAAATTAAATAGATGAGACCAGATATAATTTGCAATAGAAACTGCTTTTCAATATCTATTCTTTGATTTTTTTTCCTCAAAGTAATAAAATCCTGAATTTTAGCAGGGCAAATGCTTATCCACAATAAAGTCAATGTTTCCCAGCTTCCTTTGCAGTAACATATGACTAGCTGACTAAGTTCTTGCCAGGGCAATACAAGCAGAAGTGATGTGGGCGACTTTCTGGCCATTTTGCTAAGAGGAAGAGGTATTTTCTCATCTCTCTTTCATACTTCCTATGAGCTGGAATACAGAAGGAGAGTGAACTATTTACATGGTGTGAATAAGAACCCAGTACAGGTGGCAAATGAACAGAAGAGAGGGAGCCTCATTCTTGACAACTCATGGGGCAGAACCACTATGCTAACTTGGGGTTGTATGCAAAAGAAATACATTCTTATTCTCTTTAAGCATTGTTTGTGTTGGATGTCTGTTAAAGCATTTGAAACTATATCTTAACCATCACTAACTTTAAGATCACTTTCAACTCTAAGAATCTATGAAAATATTAAGAAAATGCAGTGATCCATTTTTAATAACATAATGAATAGTTAAGGTAGAGTAGGGAATGAATAACTCAAACAAATTATATCTAAAAACTAAAAGGCAGAATTTGTCATATGTAAGATCTCCACAACTTGCTATCCATCTTGACTTAATTAATGGCTAAAATGAATACTCACCTATTTTATGTCCATAGAATTAAAAAGCTCATTTACAAATTCTGATATCAGGAGAAATGCTTGGATATTAATGGTAAAGTTTCAGAAGAACAGGAAATGAGATATTCTATCCCACCAGAGAAGAGTTCTCTGATAAGAAAAGGAGTAGTTACAGGGGCAATGACTTCAAAGGAATTCATGCTTCCAAAAGTCATGTGGCAATATTTTTTGTTAATATATCAATTATCATGATTGATAATATATCAGTTATATGATTGTTACTGGCATTATCTAGTGCAAATAACTTGGGCCATAGCATTAAATGGACCTGTGTTTGAAAATCAGCTGTACCTTGCTACAGCTGTGAACCTGGAAAAGTTCCCTACACTGTGTGCTTCAGGTACCCCAACTGTAAAATGCAAACAATAACACAGCCCATGTAGACCTGCTAGAGAAATTAAATGCAGTGGGGTCTGGAGAGTATCTGCCAGCCAGAGATAGTCTGCAAGTACTCAACAGCTGTTTTCTTCAGCTTCATCTTTATGTACATTTTTAATCATCTAGTCTTCAAAATATAAATTTTAAATATATAATTTTTAGTTAGTATTTCTAGGTAACATGGCAAGCATCTAGATGACTTACAACTTACTGAGAACCACACACTGTTGTTTAATGTAATCATATTTCTAATTCTTCCTCATTGTTCTCAGTGCTAAGTAGCATGTTTCATTGGGTTACCTAGCCAGTTTGTAAATGTGTTCTTTCCTCTGATCAAAGAGATCCCAGTTTTATTCAGGTATCCACCTCTCTCTCATATAGTCACAGGCCGCATGAAACTTGGTTTCATCTCCAGCTTCAGAGTTGGACTAGATGGTTCTAAGGTTCTTCCCACCCCCTTTGCCAGTGATGGGTTCAGAAATGGACATGTGACCCAACTGAGCCAGTGAGACACAAGAGGTTTGCTGAGGTCTTCTGGGGAAAAGTTTTCTTCATCCTCCTGGGAACACTTAAGGAAGCAGAGCCTCCTCTTAACTCGGCTCAGTGTTGCGGCTGCACGCTGTGAGACTGGAATTGCAGCAGGCATATGTTGCTGCCAGCCTTGTGATGCAGCCAACACAGGAAGACAGATAAAGCCATCCTTTGAAACCTAGATTTTCCTCTGGATTTTCAGTTATGTGACACATTTCATTTCCTTGTTATTTAAGGCATTTGAGTTTGTTTTTCTGTTAGAGCAGCTTTTCTGACCCATTGTCAAATCATTTTCCACATCTGTAGCAAGCCCATCCAATTCCAATGATCACAAGTTTGCCTTCAGTATTCCCCCGCTTCAGCTCTGCTGCTGGGGCTTCATGCTGGGTTATTTTTATACTCCTTTTCTGTCAGGTTTGTGTTTTCAGCTCAAATAGAATTTTCTGGGTCACATAGCATTTATTTAACTTTCCTGAACTGCTGCTTCTCAATATAAAGCTACATGAGATTAAAAAAACCTTTATTTTTCTTTTCCCTGAGGAAAGACAAAAGGGTCTAGAAACATTTTCCCTACATACATTTTCATGAACTACTGTTTGTGCTACTTACTTGATTTGATTTCAGGCCAATCAGCTTGTTCTAGTCTGTGGTCTTCATACTTTATGTCCAAATATGCAAATATGTACCGAATAATTTCTGCTCTCCCCCTCATATTAAAGTAAATGAGTTTGTAGTTTGGCATGATGTAATTCTGGAAAGAGAAAAATAGAAGGATTATTTAAACATCCCTCTAGAGATGTCTCAACATTTTTCTTGGGGGACTTTTTGAAAACTTTATGGAATCTTCTGGGATAACTGGAGATAATTAGAAGATATTTCAAAACGAGAATTATAAATCATGATCCTAATAACATATGGGGAAAACTCGACAGAAATAAGATCATGGCTCTCTCCGTTTAAGAACTGGCTGGAATATTCCAGTGAAATAACCAAAGTCAAGTTTTATTTATAGAAAGACATAAGACTAAGAGGGTATCAATACACCAACCTTCAAAGGATGGAGTCAGCAGCTTTCCATGTTAAGATGTTTTTGTCCAGCTTTTTGCCACTTGTGAGTGGTGTTTGACATTTGATTTGTCCTTTGCTTTGGTGACACAGCTGAGTTTGTGAGAACAGCTGGGTAGGGATTGCAAGGGCAGGGAACACACAACAGGCATGGGAACGAGCTATGTCAGCCTGCCATCCCCTCCCTTCCCTCCCTTGTTGCTTTTCCCTCTAGGAGTCAAAGGCTTAGGGCAATGGTGTTGTCTTCTCTCCTTTACTGCATCAGTGGTGCTGGGGTTTATTGGGTTGCTTGCACTATACAAACATACTCCCAGCTTGGGGACCTCTGGTGGGATGGAACAACGATGAGCATGTTTCTTTATTCCCTCTACAGAGGAACACAGAAGAAAGGAAGCAAACTTTTCTTACATTTCAGAAAGTTAGCTAATACTGGCGATATTGATTAATGGAGGTCATTATAATTCTGTGAGTTTTCTGGGATTCATATAAGTTCATTTCCATTGTCTACATACAGTGAGTGATTTTAAGCACTAAGAGTAGGCTGTATTGTCATTTTATAATGATTAGGCAACTGAGAAAGAAACATTTTCATTTGAAATTCAGTTCTTCCACTTAGTTTCTGTGTACCTTTTGGCTAGTCAACAAAATCTCTCTGAATGTCAAAGCCCACTTTTTATAAACAGAGATACTAATGTGGATTTGGGGGTTAATGAGTAACACATGTAAAGCATTTAGCACAATGCTAAACACTTAATGATTATTAGTTATTAATAATAACTTTGAATTCATTCTACAGTTAAGAATAAACACCATGAATACAGCACACTGCAAATAAATAATATTTTTAGTATTAAGTAAATGAAAATCATAAATGACATTTATTTAAAGTGGTAAGTTTAAATAGTTTATTCTCTCCTAAGGAAATATTTTCAGAGATATTAACAGAATATTACATAAAAAGAAAAGTTGGGCTCAAGTCGCAAAACAAAATTCATCTGAAATCACATCTCATAAAAGATCAAATACAAATCATAAAAATCTAGATTGCCAAGCTCCTGTTTCACAGACATGCATATTTCATCCATCTGTGGAGAGGAGGACCGGAAATGACTTGTCTGATTGCTTATCTAGACCCCCTCAGGCTGAAGAAATGATGGTGATGGCGATTCCTAGAAACCCATTTCTCTGGGCCCGGGTTTTCCACACCTAGATGTTGTGGAGGTGGCGCTCCTTTTAGAGACAGAGTCACCCTAGTCATTCCGTGTCCTGTCCTCTCCCATTAGCTTGTCTCGTCCCCACCCAAGTGAAACGTGGCACATGCCACTTGTATCAATATGTGAGAGAATGTTCTCTGCAGAGAGAAGAATTCACTAGCAAACTAACAAAGCTCCAAGATTTACAGCCCCAAATTCCTTTGAGGGAGAAATATGCATATAGGAAGCTCACATTTGGGACAGTAAATGAAGTGCCCATCAGAAATGGAACCAGTTTCCAAGTTTCTTAGAAATGTTGAGCTTAGAAATAAGTAGTGGTAAATACACAAGACAAAAATAGTAAATAAAAAATATAAAGTAACAAGTTTCCTTCTGAAAAAAAGAAAATATTTTACATAATCAAAATAAACGGAACACTGATGTAGGATGTAAAAAATGTAATTCTTAGAATTCCTTGGTCAATGTTTTTAAATCTCAAGAACAAAAATAGCCTTCAGAGTAGAAAAAGTGTCTATCCATTGCACTTCTTATTTGAAAAGCATTCTACACAATTTTTTAATTGATTTTTATGTTGTAGGTCAGTGCTTCCAAAGAAATTATGTATTTTTTTCTTTAAACATTTTATGTGTATATAGATTCACTTGTGTCCATATGACCAACATTAAAAATTAAACATAACCTTCTCTCATTTGGTCAAATATCACATAATTCTACATGAAAATGAAGGGCTTGTTTGTTGTTGTTAATTTGCAAAATCATGCTATTTTATATTGTATTTCACTCAAGTAAAGGAAACATTTAAAAATTCTTAACACGGGTTGGCAGCTGTCTATTCAGTAAATAGATCTTTAAGATTTGGCACAGGCCCATGGACATCTGACAGGCTTACCTTTCCCTCTAGAACATCCTTTCAACAGTCATAACTCATGAATAAAGCTGTACTTGTACATCATATTTCAGTACTTACTTGCATAATTATATTTTCTACTGAGCAGAAGTCCAGTTTCTTGATTTTTATAGCTGCAAAACATCACCCTTGAAGACTTGTCCTTCAGGGTACATGTGCACATTTTATAACATGAAAAATAAGTACTAAAGGTAAATGCTATTGGAAATATTTACTAATTCTAAAAATTCTTTCAGTATTTTATAAGCCTTTGTGTAAAAACTAAACAGGAGGAGTTCCAAGTAAATGTTTCTATGGCCAATGAAAACAGACAAGCAAATGTGCAATACAGTCTAAAGATAAGCAGAGAGGATCGTGTCCAGAAGAACAGTTTTCCCCTCACTGCACTTAGCAGTGTATCTGGTACAGTAATCTCACTTTGCTAAAGCCTTTGTTTCATAAGGATGATGAACTAAAAGGGTTAAGTTAACATTCATTCCCAGTGAGGATCAAGCTCAGGGTAGAGCAGGCTGATTGAAAGGAATGCGTGATTTTGGAGTAACCCCTGCCACTCACTATCTGGATGGCCTTGGACAAGTCACCTGTTCCTGGCTTCACTTTCCTCACCTGTGAGATGGTAGTGAAAATACAGTGCTTGGCACATAGTATTTGTTGAAAAACAAAAGAGAATAAAAAGGAAGAGAAGGAGGCAGGAAGTGAGGGAGGGGCAGTTCCCTCCCTAACAGAGATGAGAGTCCAGCCTTGTGTGGTTTGATTGGACTCAAATCCTAAAGACCACGTTCTTTCATCCACCTTTTCTGTGGCAGGGACACAAAAGTGAAAAGTTACATAAAAAGAAAATATAAAGTTAGAATTAAGAGCACGATAAACTTTGCCTGGACCAAAATGAATGGAAACAAAATGCCATGAACAGAACTCAGAATTCTGAGAGAAGCCGTGGTCAGCCAGGAGTTTAGCTTCTTCAAAATAACGGGGAATGAAAAGCCTCCACACACGCAAGATGGGAGGGTGGACAGACATACTGCTGGAAACCGGAACCCCGCAGGCTTTTCTACAAATTGTTTAAAAAGGTCAAATTGCAAACCTCTTCTAAAACTGCTAAAGAGGAAAATATATGGAAAGTCACAAATAATTTAAATTACAAATAAAAAGGGGTCATAATAGCAAATAAAACAGATGATTCAAAATCATAAGCTAACACTACAAATAACTGTCACGGAACCTGAACACTTAAATGGAAACCCTGAGAAAGACAAAAATTAACATAGTCCAATAAAAAGAAACTGAAAGCCTGCATCTGATAATGAGTAAAGAAATGGAATTGGTAATTAGTCACACCCACGAAAGACACCAAGCCCAGATGATTTTACAGGTGAATTTTACTTAATCCTCAAGGCAAAGTAATCCTTATCTTTTAGAAGTAGTTTCAAAGACTAGAAAGACGATAGAAGTGCAAAGATGTTAAAAGAGGAAGATTATAGACTAATCTCACTTATTAATATGATATAAACATCTGTTGGCAGCCTTAAGTGAGTGGGCCGTGGGGCCCAGGCCAAAGTTCACAATAACTTGCACTGGTAAGAGGTAAATGTACGCATGCGCTAGGAGCATGCGTCAGCATTATGAACAATACGCATGCGCCCCTAGCATTATAAAAGGACAAGTGCGCGCACACCTAAGGGCTGGCCGCGCGCGCACCACCCACTTGTACCGCGGTAAAGCGCTCCGTGTCAGCTCCTCGCGCCTTCTTCCAGTTGGGCAGCTCACCTCCTCGAATCCCTCTTCAGCCTCCCTCTGCTGACAACATCCTAAATAACGTACTAGCTATTCAAATTTAGTGTATAAAATTAAATGTAATGTTGGGCTGCACCCCGCAGGTCGGTAAGCCTTGTAGTTGCCCAGCCTCGAGACTGAAGAAAGAGCCCGAAGACGCTAACAGAGACATCAGTGGTTACTGGACAGGGGATCTCACACATCTGAAGTGAAAGGTCCTGGAGCAACATCCCACCGTGCACGGCAGACGACAAGCAGGACGCGGCAACACGCTTCACTGCTCTGGGAAGAAGGAGGCTACCATTTATAGAGGGAATTGATAACAGGTTGGCTTATCAGTTACAGGGAAACCAGTAATTGGGGCGGGGGACAGGCACCTAGGCAGTTGCTAATTCAGCCCATCTAATTAAGAGGATTGGATAGTCGTGTGAGGGAGGCAGACCTGGCAGAGCAGGGGATGTAGAGAGCAAGAGAACAACCATCTTGAGTGTCCTGACCGTTCATGTAATGGCACAATAGGGTTTATCCCAGGAATGCAAGGTATTTCAGCACCAAAACATTCATCTGTATCCTATACTACATCAATAGGTTAAAAGAGAACAACTATAAGCCATCTTATCTTCTCAATGGATGCTAAATAAATGCTTTTTAAAAAAGCATTTATAAAAGTAATCACTCATTTGTGATCAAAACTCAAAAAAAAAAAACCCAAAACCCTTATCAAACTGAGAATAGAAGGAAACTTCTTTAATCTAATAGAGTCTCTACGAAAAGACACAAAGCAAACACCATACATAATGGGGACCAATGGAAGCATTTTTCCTTAATATCAGGAAAAACAAGGATCCCTATGATCCTAGTATTCAGCATGGTCTCGATGACCTCGCCAATTCAGTAAAATTAGACAACAGTAAATAACATACGTAAGGAATGGAAAGAAAGAGACAAAATTGTCCTTATTTGCAATCAAAATGATTGTGTATATTCAAAATCCAAGAGACTTTACAGAAAAACCTGATCCTAAACTTAAAATGGAAATGCTAAAGACCAAGACAGCCAAAAAAACCCAACCAAACAAACAAAAGAACAGAAAGAGAGGGCTTCACCTACCAGACAGCAAGACTTTAAAAGCCTTGTACTTACGGTAACGTGGTGTTTGTTCAGGACTAGATATAGGGGGTACACAGAGTCTCGAAACAGAACCTCAGGTGTACAACAGACAAGACATTACCATGGGGGCATACAAGGACGAGACTAAAGTGGTTCTGAGACAAAAGAGGAAAAATGTACATAATGAAACCCCGACTTCACATAATACATAGAAATAACACATAAACATGACTTGATTGACCCAGGCAAACTCCAGTGTCGTGCTGGTCTCTTATTCCCTGTTAGCTTCACACTCTGAGCCCTACCACTATCATTTTGTGTTAGGAATCCCATGCAGAGGAATCTGCATGTATTCTGTGAAATGATAAAGAAACAAGAAGTAAAAAGTCTGATCATGCTTAGGATCTCCTTTAGACCTAAAACACTAACCACTGGTTTCCTTCCACCCCAAAGAAAGTCGTGTAAAGTTCCTGATTCAGCAGATAAATAACTTACTTAGACTTCTGTTTGAAAAATAAGGCACACATCTTCTTGAAGAACAAATGAATGCATGGCTAACAAACACCCTGGATAGAAGTTTTCACATGTGAACTCATATGCACATAGTCATTAAGTGCAAAAGAAAATACAGCTTTTAATTTAAAAATTAAATGCTTTACATAAAAAGTAAGAATATGTTTGAAAAGTTCTATCTCAGGTATTTCATTTCTCCTAGGTTTGTAGCTCTTTTTACTAGATACCAACATATTTTAGCTGGTTAACAACAAAATGCAGGAATCCCAGAGGGGATTTTAATGCAGTCATTGAAAATACAAGCTATTATAATAAAACAATTGAATTTTAACTAAGCTGATATTCTAATCTATATATTGCTGTAAGGGCACAGTAAAAACATAATCTCAAAAATTCTAGTGTCTGTGCCAGAAAGGTGACAACAATCCAAACTCAGTTTTGTAGCAAAAGAGGCTAACATTCAATTACTTTGTTATGCACTTTAAAGATTTCAACAGGTAACTGAAAAAAAGGGAAAGAATTTTAGGAGTAATTTTGATGGCTAGAAAGCTTACAGATAAGAAACTAACAATTCAGTCCAAAAACAGGTCACAAGGCAGTTAGACATGCACAGAATATGACAGTCATAAAAATAAACCCTAAAATGAAGAGTGAAAACTATCTCATTTCTAGTCTTTGTACAGCTCATTCATATCACTTACTTGGGCTGTGTCTCTGTGGGGTTTCTCGTATCTTCTGTGCCCTCGTATGGGACTGTATCTTGGGTTTATGTGATGAGTAAGATACAGTCACAAGCCAATGAGAGATGAGGTGACTTCCACATAAGTCTCTTCCTTTATGTCTTAGATGAAATATGCCTGCCAAAATGTGCAAGTCTGCAAAGACTTCTAGTTATTCTTGGAATTTTATAGGTTCTCTGTGTATAAATAACTTAAAATATTTGCATACAGTTGATAAAGTCAAAGTTATAGGTGCTGAAGTGTGCCTCTTGCTACACATTTATTTTTAAAGTCTTAGAACTACAGGCACCTGGAGGAAATGCAAACTGAGGGCAAGTACACCATCCTTACAAATACACACATGGCTTGCTGCCTGACTTCACTAGATCTCCTTGGTGCATCCTTGGCTGACCACCTCCTCACTGGAACCTGTCTCAGACAGCCTCATCTTTACCTGCTCTGCACTTATTCATCACAGTGTCTGACAACTTACTGTGTTTTATTTGTTTGCTTTCACCCCCACTTCACCACCACTGTATTCCCCTAGTGGAATACAGGCTGTACCAAGGCGGGCACTTCATTGTTTAATTTAGTGTTGTGTCCTCAGTCTCAACAGGAGTGCCAGGCACATCGTAAGCACTAATATATATTTGATGAATGAATGACCCCAATTTCTATTTCCTCACAATTCATAATTTTACAAGAACTCTTCAAATTTTCATTGCTGCTAGTATATTTCACTACACAATTTTCTCAGAAGGGCTGAAACCAAGTCCCCCTAACACCAACTTCCTTTCCCCAATTTATAATTAATCTCTGTCCAAAACTGTATTCCCTCTCCTGTCCTCTCTGACCTCAGTGCTATGCTGACTGAACACTCATCAGCCAGCGTCAGAGGGCTAAAATTGCTGTTGTCAACAGCATTGTTAACGTACTGAAGTTACTAATAGGTATCACCATTAACCTACAAACTCAGGTTGTTTCTTAAGGGCAAAATGAGCTAGCAAGACCCCTGAGCATGGACCACCTGGCCAGAGACAGCCTATGACTCTCAAAACTACGATTAAGAAATGTCACAGGAATGTCACAAAACAATGATTAATCACAATCTCTTTGTTCTTCCTTTAAAATAGACCCCTCCTAACTCACAGACCGGGCTGGGGTGGATCTGAGGCTTGTCTCCCACTCCCTTGCTTGGCGTCCTGTGATAAACCCTTCCTTCACTGCAAACTGGCACTGTCAGAGTTGGGCTTTCGGTGCTGCAGGCACATAAGCCCTCTGCTTGGCTTCAGGGTCGTATTTTTTAAGGTAAGCCCGGAGGGGAAGATTCCCCTACATCTTGTTGATAATCCTTGTACAGATTAGTAACAAATGCTGATATGTTTCAGAAATTAATTTTTTTGGTCCTTGGTGCAGGAATGAATTCCAGCTACAGTATTAGAACAGTTCAGTGAAAAGATGCAGTGAAATACCTGCCTGTGCATTATTAGACCTGAAGGTTACACATTAAACTTTCTAGTGACAGTCTGTCTGGCTTTCAGCTTCTGGGAAGTGACACTCACAGGCAGCAATAGAAAGCTAGCAATCCTGTAATATTTCCTAAGTGCTTTTAACTTTGAAAAATGTGTTTACATCCATTTATTATAAACATAAGAAATGAAAATAAGTATCTATATTAGTCTGTAAAAAGTCTAATTAAGGAGACACAAGTACAGCCCCTTACCTGCCAGAAAGGTATCTGTAGCTCAAAATCAAGTGCAAATGGCATGGGAGCTGTACAAAGTTAACACAGTGTGTTTACTATCTTCACTGAGTTTTAACTTACATTTTAAAAAATCTTTTGGTCCTCACTTCAGTTATTTTTAATCCCTATTTTATAGATGAGGAAACAGAGATACAGGGAAATTAGATACACTGGCCCAGAATTTGGGATGGGATAAGCCTAGGCCTTCAGATGACACATTAAATATTCTTTCCCTACATGTTTCAGTGGAAAAAAATCATATATTCAAAAAATAGCACTTTCCTCCTTTTCTGTAACAGTTTTCTGCTTTACAACCCGTTCTGCTTGGCTGGAGGAAAATAGAGCAACACATCACCAGTTTTGGGGAAGGGGTGGCCATTTGTTCCTTGGTCATCGATCAGTGCAGGCTATCCTGGAAGCTGCCCACCGTCTCTGGGTGTGTGGCGTTCAGACCAGCAGCCCCTGCTGCTCCTGCAGTATCCTCATTTTGCCCAAATGTGGCAGTTCAGTCAGTTACAACGCTGCCTGAGGTTCCAACCGCCCGCCGCCCAACACGACTACTTCTTCGACGTGGTCTTTCCACCTTCCAGGCAGCAAAAAGGGTCCCAGCATCCCTCTGCCCCGGAATCACACAGATTTCCCTTTCTCTTCTATCCCAGCCCAGGTGGGGATACTGCAAAATCTCCTAGTCTACCACCAGCTGTGGGACTTTGGGCAAGTTATTAGACTCTCTGTCTCAGTTCCTTCATCTTTAGATGAAGGTTTATTCTACAATAAATATTACTGAGTACGCAATCTTTGCTAAGTAATGTTCTGGATAATAGAAGTAAAGCAGTAAACAAATACAGACAAAAATCCTCACCCTCACGGAGCACTCTTAGGATATTAGTAGTAGCTCCCTCACGGGGCTTTGTGAGCATTTAGTAAGTACATAGATACATGCTTGAAAAGGCGCCTCGTGCATAGTTAGAGATCTCTGAATGTTAGCCATGGTTAATAATCATTCACAATTTGTCTGAAGAGAGGATCATTTTCCTTCGAGAGTCTATGGTGTCCAGTTCTTGCCCTCTCTGTGATTATGTTCTGAAACTAAAAGTCTGAAAGAAAAGCTATTGCCAGGCAACTGTTATTTTTCATGCTGCTTCATCCTCTGCTGAGGAAATGAGCACAGAACCAGCTCTCTGTTTGAATGGGGAGGCGGGTGTGGGGAGAAGCAAAGGTGAAAAATGCAGGGTGAAAACGCCTTATCTGTCACCTTCTCACATTCTCCCCCAGCGGTGCCGATATTTCTTTGTGCCACGTGCCCTGCATGGACACCCTGCGCATGTAGATTGGATTGTATGAGAAATAACTGTGAGTAAATATGACAATTTGTATGATAATGTTTACACAATCATTGGAAAAGCTTTTGTAATTTAATCGAATATATCTTCCTTTTCTCTGGCGACTCCCAAATTGGAAAACTCTGACTCTTCTGATATAATTAGCAAGTTCCTAACTGCAGTTCAAAATCCAACATTAACTCAGAGTCCAACTTCATTCTTGTTTTCCTTCTCCTCCAGCCTGGGCAATGGTGGGGTCATACAAGGTGCTGATGAAGTCTTCCAGCCTGGAGTACCGTGGGCTGGAGCTCTGAAACAGAATCTCAGCCACACCACGTCCTGGAGGGGACCTTAGGCACATCCCTACCCTCTCTCAGCTTCAGTTTCCTCCTCGGGAAAACGGTGGTGATAAAGAATCATTCTTATTTCTCAGAGTTGAAAGGATTAAACAGGTAATCTAAGTCACTCTGTGTTGATTGGCAACTGGTTACTGCTTGGTAAGTATTAGTGGTTATTACATATTTCTTTAATGATGGAAAAATAAATACCACATCTTAAAAACAGCCCACATACTAGTTCCTCTTTATTTATTTTGGTAAAAGGGAAATGTTCAACCAGACCTATTTCTACTTTTCTAGCTGCACTGTTGATGGAGAAAGAAGGAAGTCTCCAGGAGAAGCCCACAGAGCTCCTATCTCAGCTTACTAAGCTTTTTGGTATATTTCATGCAATCAAGCAATTTCCTTTTCATAGTCAGTTATTTGAGAAACTAAAAACATCCAAAACTAAATTATTTAAACCTGGGATTGAGAAGGCAGGAAATGAAGAATCTGTTTCTTTTTCTACTCCTAACCTATTGGGTAGTTGAAATGTGTTTACAAATCTTTAGTGCCCCTGTTTTCCCCAATTTCAACAGTGATAACACTATTTTTCTTACCTGGCTCTTCAGATACTGTGAAGAATAATACAGAAATTATCTCCAAGATGGTGAGTAAATGCTTTTCTGCTGAGCCTTTGGCTGAAAGGGGACTTCCAAATATAAGCAAATAATAGTAACATAAGTAACTAATATTTCTTAACTGCTTCCTGTGGGCCAGGCGTTGACAATGTGCTTGCCATGTATTAGCTCATTTAATGCCCACAAAATAGCATCACAAATGGTTACATCACTTGAGTGTGGCTACATAACTGACTAGGACGTGTGATGAAAGCATTTCTAGATATAAAATTCCTCGAACATTTGAATCTTTTTCATGAGATTGCACGTTTACTCTTCTGTCAAGAATGGGGGAAATAAGCATTGAAATAGAATAAGTTAGCTTGCTTTTAAAGATTTTTCCAGAATCCATTATCGTCCCTTCTGTATCATTACAACACACACTGTAGGAGGAAGGACCCTGCATAAATCCCACCTGTGCCTTTACCCTGTCCTGTTATCCAAAAGCATCTCATCTCCGCTCAGAATGTCAGTTCTGGGAAAATAAGAGTTGGCCAAGTGACCTCTAAAGTCACTTTCTGCTCAGTTGTTCAATGACATAATTTTCCCGCTGAAGACATTTCTCTGTCTTACATAAAAACTATGTCCAAAGGGACACAGTTCATGGACTGAGGATTACAGGGACACAAGCTATTTTGTCCTCAAATCTAGCGACAAAGACAAGATACTCAGATCAAAGGAAGGTCATCCTCTCTGATACTCTGGGGTCACATGA